AGTCTTGAGGACGGTAGAGTCTCTCGAAGGGAACCCAAACCCACCGCTGCCCTTTCCATTTCTTATAATAAATGAGAAGCAAGCCCCCAGGGGCGGGTGGTGGGGTGGGGGTCTGGGGAGCCCCTGTGCCTGATCCATAAGCCTCCTCCCAGGGGCTGAACGACACTGCAGTATTGTAGCGACTGCCTGTGCAATGTTACCTGGGCAGTCATTCCATGCCTGGGGTTCTGGGGAGTTCAGGGGTCTTTCGGTTGAATTTGACAGATGCTTTCCAGGCGCCAGGAGTGAAGGCAGCCCTGGGGGGTGCAGACAGGAGTTGGGACGTCACGCTGGCCCTTGGGGAGCCCAAGGTCTCAGGGAAGACAGAAGGGAAGTCGGCGAGTTGAGCGTGCAGAGGCTGGTCTGGTTCTGTGGTGGAGCTCTCGCTGTGTTTTCAGGGGGCTGGTGTGGTTCAGGACCAGTGCACTGGGTGAACAGCCACCTGTCACTGAAGGCCTGCATGGTGCTGTGAGGCTGAACAGATTTCAGCAGAGCCTCCTGAAGACAGACTAGGAAGAAAGGTTTGGTGATCTGTTTCCAAATAGCCGCCAATGAAAAGCTCAGGGATCCTAAACGTTCAACCACAGGCAGCCATGGCACAGGAGGGGGCAGAGGCCAACAAAGAAGGCGGGGCGAAGGCTTGGAGCCTTAGGAGAGGGAGAGGAAGCTCCCACGCTTCTCAGATGAGCGAGGAGATGCTGGTTACACTGCCATTATGGGAGGTGAGGGGTGCGGGGGGGCTTTCAAGGAAACCTGGGCGAGGAGAAGGCTCTGTGGGCAGAAGCTAGCGCAAGAGAGAAGCCAACAAACATGGCAGGCGAGTACCCGAGAAACTGAGGTATTGCAGTAAACGTCTGCACTCGACTGGATGTGGCGTCATGTGGAGTATAACAAAGTAGTCATTTAGTCAAGAATTTAAAAAAAAAATCACACCCTCAAGGGATCACATGAGGAGAGGATTCAAGTGAAGCTGCTAATACCAGGGCTCTCAGGAGGCCTGGCACCTCACCAGC